TTCCTAAAAGGTATAAAATAAATTGTTGGAATGAAATGGGGATAGACACACCATCAAGGCCAGCAGTTGTCACCTGTGTCCCTTCTCTCACCTCCATCCCCTGTGGTTAACTTGAGAAAGGAACCATTGCTGGAAGCAGACCACAGCCACCCTGGTCACCTCGACACCCAGTCCCCAGGAAGTCACATTCCTCAGGACAGCCTGCTCTGCTTTTTACTTTAGAAAGGTCTCTTATTGGGTATAGTTTATTCTAGATTACTATAGAACATTGTTTAGATTTATAATATGCTTTTAAAGTGTTTTGATTTTTAAGGAAAAATGTGAGGCTTTGGTTAGAACACAGTGCAGTTTATTATCTGTGATATTGAAAATCTGCACTTTTCTCTAACATGTGCTATTGGTTCTAGAGTAAGAAGGTTTATGGGATTTTTTTTTTTTGTAATTATAACATCCACCTCTTGAGAAGTCTAGTTATAGTAGTCTATTAATCTGATAAATTTTTAACAATTTTCCTCTTTCAAGAAATAGTGGGACTTCCCTAGTGGTGCAGTGGATAAGAATTGGCCTGCCAATGTAGGGGACATGGGTTCAGTTCCTGGTCCAGGAAGATTTCACATGCTGCAGAGCAACTAAGCCCATGACTCACAACTACTGAAGCCCATGTGCTAGAGCCCGTGCTCTGCAACACGAGAAGCCACCTCAATGTGAACCCTGTGCACTGCAGCTAGAGAGTAGCCCCGACTTGATGCAACTAGAGAAAGCCCCTACAAAGCACAAAGACCTAGTGCAGCCAAAAATAAATAAATTGATAAATAATTTTTAGAAATAAAATAAAGAAATAGTTGATACAAAAAAAAGAAATTGCTGATGATTAAACAGGTTTCCCAGTAGTCATGTAGAGATGTAAGAGTTGGACCATAAAGAAAGCTGAGTGCCAAAGAATTGATGCTTTTGAACTGTGGTGTTGGAGAAGACTTTTGAGAGTCCCTTGGACTGCAAGGAGATCAAACCAGTCAATCCTAAAGGAAATCAGTCCTGAATATTCACCGGAAGGACTGATGCTGAAGCTGAAGCTCCAATACTTTGGCCACCTAATTCGAAGAACTGACTCATTGGAAAAGACCCTGATGCTGGGAAAGACTGAAGGCAGGAGGAGAAGAGGATGACAGAAGATGAGATGATTGGATGGCATCACTGACTCAATGGACAGGAGTTTGAGCAAGCTCTGGGATTTGGTGATGGACAGGGACGCCTAGCTTGCTGCAGTCCATGGGATCGCAAAGAGTTGGACATGACTGAACAACTGAACTGAACTGAAACAGGTTGAAGCAAGAAATTGCTGATGATTAAACACATTGAAGCAAGAGATGTATTTAGTGCAAAGAGACAGAACTTATGATGTAGATCATGTCCATCCTCACGTTGAGAATGGATTCCCTTCTGCCATGGTTACAGTAGGATTTTAGCTCAAATTTCCATTCTTGCCATCTCTTTCCCTCTAAAATTGGCTAATAGAACTTCTTTGCATGTAAAATATCTTAAGCACCAAAGTCTTCTAGTTTAGTTTTTCTTTCTATCTGGAAAGAACATTGAAGACTGTTTCCAGATATTTTGCACTGGCAAATGTAGATTTTTCTAGCAACAGGACGCCTATCTAAGATGCATGACTTGCCTTTAAAAAAAAAATGAAATTTCATTTTCCCCGTGAAAGTATTTGTTCTGGAAGCTGCACAGGGTTGCACAGTGAGTGACTTCTGCGGAAGTCAGCGCCCTCTCAACCAGTCCCGCCTTTGCCTGGGGATTGTCCAGAACCCCGCCTCCTGGCCACGCCCCCGCCTCCTGGCCACGCCCCCTCCCCAAAACCGCCCTGCAGGGTCTGAGTGCTGTCCTTGGTGAATTCTACTGATCTGTGTGCTGAGTCACTTCAGTCTCTTCCGACTCTTTGTGAATAAAACACTAAAGTATATAAATTGTTTACTTTAAAAAATTATAAGTAAATGAGAGAGAACAAAAAGTTAGACACGTTAATAATACCGTCATCCAGTGTCTTCCTTCTAAGTCTTTTATGCTGCTGCCGAGTAATCTTCTGATGTGCCAATAACAGTTGTGATACTTGGAAAGTTCCTTACACTTTCCTTGTCTTCAGAATCTGAGCTAGTGGTTGTATGTGAGATTATCACTTATTATAGATACATCTCTCCCACTTCAAAACAAACAAAACACAAATAATAGCCATTGCTTGGAAAATGTCAGAGTTTAATGAAACAAAGTCAAGCTAGTTACCTTCAGCAGTGAAAGAATTTTCGCTGACACTTGACATCTAGTGGCTTTCCCTGGACGGGCCCTGGAAAGGCACGGTGAGCCCCGGGGCACTCTCACCTACTGGGAGCGGGATGTATGTCTAGCTGTTTGCTGTCACTTCCTCCCAGCTGTCCATGGCCACCAAGGGAGAGCAGCCACTCTCAAGCTTCGCGATCCACCCAAGAGATGACCATTCCAGACAAGCAGTTCTCAGACAAGCAGTGAGCAACAGTGAGATGATGAACTCAAGGCTTGACATGGATAGAGGCGTCATAACCCTGGCCCAGCACATAGAACACAAGTGGGTTAACAATGATGGCAACAATGAAACTTCAAGCAAATGCGCTGTTAAAACCCTTGCATAATTGTAGCAGGCTTGGGTTTCCTGTGCTTCCAGTGTTCTTGCCTCTTTGATAATCAGACGATCTAAAGAAAGGCATAGAATTTCAGGGGAGAATCTGCAGGCCAGACTCACAATGAGGCCATTCACGGGGCTCTTTCATTAGCCTGCACGGTATCGGCATCACGATTCGTCTCTGGCTTCACTACAAGGCTCCATTTAAACCCAACCCAACTCGCAGACTTAACTGATCCAGGAATTACTCAATACAGCCCGCCAGCTACTGTAGCTTTTCCCCTTTGATAAGGGGTTTAACACAATGGGCTTCACAGTTCTTAAATGACTCCACTTTTTTCATCCTGTCTTTGAGATGTGGTGCTTATGTGACCTTTTGTTCTGAATAAAATTTCACGTGGTGTGACTATATTTTTTTAAACTACTAACAGACGCAATAGTGATGCCTTACCCACAGAGGAAAGCTTTTAAAACCTTGTAGATGGTATAGAAATGAAATTCATGTCATAATATTTACCCAGCTAACTTCACTCTATTAGATTATTAGATATTATTAAACTTGAAGATATTTTATTTTGGGGGTGATTCTGATAAAGTTACAAGCAGTACTTCTGCATTTCGCATCGACTTTTGCACGCTGCTCGTTGTCTTCTGGTTTGTGCAGTTTCTGCCTCCACAGTGCTGATGGAAGGACCTGGGTACCCTCAGCAAGCTCCTGGTGGGGAGGGTGGTGGAGAGCCTGATCTCAGAGTGGGAGACCCTCAGGAATGAATGTATTTGGCCACAAGCCATCGGGAGTGCGGTTGGCTCCCATCGCACCCCAGAACTGTGGGTCTTAGACTTCAGTGAACATAAGTCATCAGAGTGATGGATAAGCATGCAGGTACCCAGGCCCCATGCTGAGTCTGACTCAGTATGTCTGTGGTAGGGGCTTGAGGATTTGCATGGTTAACAGTTGATTCTATTATCGGACCCCACTAGGAACCATTACCCCAAATTCACTGGGGACTGTGGGAACTCAGGGACCCTCGTTAGTAGGAGTGACCCCTGGTGGGATTTCCTGGGGCAATGCTGGGAGGGGAGGGCACACCTGAAGGTCCAGCTAGCATCCCCTTCTGTTCCCCGTCCCTCCACAGCAGGGCAGCACCCGCCCTGAGCATCCAGTTTTCATGGACCTGTGTTTGTGCATCTGAGAACGGCTTCCCACCCCACCCCCGCTCTGTGCATAATTTGAATTTCTGAACTGTCATTATCTGTGGTATTTAATCCAAATTTGCTACTCTACCCTCCTCTGTTGCCCCCTTATTAAAATAATTTCAGGTTTTTAGTAGCAAAGGTCTTTTTCAAAGGATTTCTGATTAGAAGTGGACTCTCAAAAAGCCTTTTGGGAATTATTGATGTAGCATGTTTGCTCATTTCATGAAGATAAGATTTTTCCTTGAAGATAAGTTGATCTGATGATCAGGACACACAAGTGGTGGTGACTATTGTTGATATTCATACACTTCGCCTGCAGTGCTGTTGGGTGTGCTGTTTGTAGAATCCACCCCCATACAGTTAGAGGGCTTTTTTATTATGAGAATTTTCAGCCTGACACTGAACTAGAAAATACAGTTCCCATATATGCATCACACAGTTCCCAGAGTTACCAGGATCTGTCGTACTTTCTGACAGCTATTTTTTTCCTGTTCTTAAATATTTAAAAAATTTTTATTTTTGTATTTTGTATAGTTCTTTTTGAATTTATTTTTAATTGGAGTATAATGGCTTTACAATGTTTTGTTGGTTTCTGCTGTACAATGAAGTGAATCAGCTATCCCCTCTCTCTTTAGCCTCCCTCCCACCACCCCCATCCCACCCCTCTAGGTCATCACAGACCACTGAGCTGAGCTTCCTGTTTTACACAGCAGCTTCCTACTAGCTCTCTGTTTTACACAGGGTAGTGTGTATATGAGGGCTTCCCCAGTGGCTCAGATGGTAAAGAATCCACCTGTAATGCAGGAGACACGGGTTCTATCCCTGGGTCGGGAAGATCCCCTGGAGGAGGGCATGGCAACCCACTCCAGTATTCTTGCCTGGAGAATCCCATGCACAGAGGAGCCTGGCAGGCTACAGAATCACAAAGAGTCAGACACGACTGAAGCACCCGAGCATACACACTGTATATACGTCAATGCTGCTCTCTCAGTTCCCCGCTGTGTCCACAAGTCCGTTTTCTACCAGTTCTTGAGTGTTGCTGGTGGTTTTCTAATTGGCTCATTCTGGGAATGATGCAAACACAAGATGCTTTGCTTGGGCCTGAGTGTGGCAAAGCTGTGTGATAACGTGAGGTTGTCCTTTTTAGGAATGTGTCCCGGAGAACCTGGAGATGAAACGGAAGCTGTTCGCTCAGCTGGACAAAATCACCGATGACCATGTCGTCTTGAGCAGCTCCAGCTCATGCCTGCTGCCCTCCAAGCTGTTCGCTGGCTTGGCACACGTGAAGCAGTGCCTGGTGGCCCACCCCGTGAGTATGTCCAGCCTGGAAACCCAGCAAGTCTCATTTGGGGTTTCCAGGAGCAATTCGTCTCGATGAAACTGCTTGTGCTTTTTAACTGCTTTCCTGAGATGTAATTCATATATCACACAATTCAACTTGTACAGTCTAATGGCTTTTTAATATATTTAGCGAGTTGGATGTTATCATCATTTTAAAAAGAATTTTATCCAGAATTTCTTGAATTGTATCTTGTATCTCATGCATTGTGAAAATGAACAAATCTTACAGACTTCTGGCCTCAAGTCACTCACTGTCACAGGCCTGGGGTGCTGTGGTCAGGTTGGCTCCCACCACCTGAGTTGATCTAAGACAGGTGGGACATGTGCTCAGGTGGGGTATGTGCTTGGGGTGGGTGTGAGAGTTACATAGTTACATACTATGCATAGTTAGAACTATGACTCGGGGAATGGGGAGGCCACATGTGGTCTCAGCGCTCCCGTGGCGCCGTGTCTCCTGGGGGGTCTGAGTGGGCAGAGGGAGGCCGGCTGCCAGGGTGGCCCGGGGGCAGCAGGGCTTAAAGGAAGTGTGGGCAGGAAGTCTGCAAGGCAGCCTATGAGCGAGACTGAGACAGGAGCGAGCCAGATGCACAGAAAGATGCCTTTTACCTGTTTGTCCTGACCTGTGTTCTGCCCCTACAAGGCTCACAGCACTGCAGAGACCCCAAGCCCAGCATCCCTGTCTTCCTGTAAAGAGAAGTTCATTACAGACAGACATGCTCCCAGTTCTTATAATTCTCATGTTTAAAAAGGCCAGAGGTCACACGTCTCTGGAAGGAACTCAGTGACTCCAGGCAGGGGGCCAGTGAGTCAGCCAAGAATTAATTTATAGTTTATTTGAAGTAGGTACTCCCCCAGGACAGGCTGGGAGCAGAGGAAACCTCCAAGGTGTGAGGGCCAGCTGCCCCTCCAGGCTGTTCCAGGGGAAATACTTTCTTCCCTCCTGTGGAAGTCATTTTAAAATGGATACCTCTTATACTTTTTGGTAAATGTGAGATTTTTACCCGTTTTCACCCATACTCAGAGGAAAAACAACTTAAAATACAATATTCTTTGGGGAAAGAGTTTAGCAAACGTGCATCTGCTTAGTGGTGAGGGTTGTCAGCAGCCTTTTGTCAAATAGCATTTTCTTTAGAGGTAGGAGAACTCTCTCTGAGAATCTTCAAGAAGGATTTCTCAAAGTAAACCAAGAAAACCAGAGCCAAGAAGCCCCAAGAAAACCAATGCTGGGCAGGCAAGCCATCCTACCGTGGGCAGACTCTCTTCCTGTCTCAGACGACACTCAGTACTGAGGCTCTAGGGCGTCGCCTTGTGACTCGTGGGTGAGATTTGATCAGGGGAGCCAATATTTGAGGCTCAGCATGGAGACATTAAGGGAGTTCCAGGTTTGGGGAAGATACTGCCCATGGCACCGATGCAGTAGAATGGCTGTGACTCATGTGGGAAGAGGAGGCTGGGCGAAGGTGGGGAGAAGCCCGTGAGGACAGCTGATGGCACAGCCCCGGGAGGTCAGCAGTAAACATGCAGGGGCCCACTGGCACCCGTGAGCTGGAACCTCAGGGTTGGTTACAGTTCCTGTAGTTCTGTGCCCAAGCTCTTTCTTTGTCTGCCCTCTTTGTGAACGACTTTATTCCTCCAGTTTCTTGTCATCGGATGGGCCTCTCATTCCTGTGTCGAACCTGCCTCCCACCCACCCTGACCGCTCAGGATTGTGAATGACACCCCGAATGCCAGAGCCGTCTTCTCAACTCTCTCCGGCCATCTCTCTCCCCAGGTCAACCCACCGTATTACGTGCCACTGGTGGAGCTGGTTCCACACCCAGAGACGGCCCCCGCCACCGTGGACAGGACCTATGCCCTGATGCGGAGGGTCGGACAGTCCCCGGTCAGGCTCCTGAGGGAGGTTGACGGCTTCGCCCTGAACCGCCTCCAGTATGCGGTCATCGCTGAGGCCTGGCGGCTTGTGGAGGTGTGTGGCTGGGCTGCGGCCCATGGCTGAGCAGGGCTCGGGGGGGTTTGGGGGGTATGAGGGGCAGGAGCGGAGAACCAGGCGCTCCATCTGTTCCAGAGACCAGGGGAAAGCCCTTCCTCTCAGAGATTCCTCTGTACCACCAGTCACCTGATACTTGCATGTGATGAAGATTTCTATTCTTGCCCTTTCCTGTCATTTCCACACCATTTTCTCTGTGATGTGCTGAGTTTCCCTGTGGTCACAGTACCACCCCCAGTGGTACTGTTTTTCAAGAGGAAAAAGAAATTATATTTTGAGTAAACTTGTGTCCTTTAAAGGAAGAGCTTGAGGAAGAAACAGTGGATGGCTTTTAAACTTTTTAGTTCTATGCTTGTCTCACATATAGAGAGGAGTTTATTTATATATATACACCTATATATTTACATATGGACTTCCCAGGTAGTTCTAGTGGTAAAGAACCCACCTGCCAATGCAGGAGACACTGGTTCGATCCCTGGGTCGGGAAGACCACCTGGAGGAGAGCATGGCAACCCACTCCAGTATTCTTGACTGGAAAATCCCATGAACAGAGGAGCCTGGCAGGCTACAGTCCATGGGGTTGCAAAGAGTCAGACACGACTGAAGCACCCGAGCATACACACTGTATATACGTCAATGCTGCTCTCTCAGTTCCCCGCTGTGTCCACAAGTCCGTTTTCTACCAGTTCTTGAGTGTTGCTGGTGGTTTTCTAATTGGCTCATTCTGGGAATAGGCTACAGTCCATGGGGTTGCAAAGAGTCAGACACGCCTGAAGTGACTTAGCACACAGAGGTTTGTCAGTTTCTTGAAAAGAAGGTTTTTTGTTTCACTGACTTTTTTTCCCCCTTACGGTTTTCCTGCTTTTCATCTCACTAACTGTGGATGAAGGGTGTCCCTTCATCACAAGCAGGAGAGAGAAATTCTAGAGGAGACAGAGTGGGAGGGTGGGGCCGCTACTGCGGGCCTGTCGTAGTGGGGAACAAGGTGGGACATGACCAGGGCAGGTGGGCAGGAAGGGGCTCCACGGGGCACATGGTCCCACCCCCAGCCGCGACTGCACGAGGCTGGTGGGTGCTCACAGCCGCTCGGTCCTTTTTCTGTTGCCCATTTGGCTGCAGAATTGGGCCGGAGCAGCCCTAGTTGGCTGGGAAACGCTGACGACTGCAACCTAGGGGCCCGTGGGTGATGGATCCTGTTGCTGGGAAAGTGCTTTTCAGCCCATCCTTTTAAGCTGATGGGCACAATGAGGGAAGAAGCGTTGAGATGATAGACTCTTGCCCAGACAGTGGCTGAGCTTGCACTGCCCATAAATTCCTGTCCTGTTGCAAGAGGGTCATGGAGGCAAGCGGGGGTGAGTCACAGAGCTGCCGAGGATTCTCAGCTCGTTGGAATGTGTGGGTGGTAATGAGTTTCAGACTGCTGACCTCAGGTGGTGTTCATGCTTCTGAGAAACAGAACCTCCAAGTGGATATCTGCCCGTGGGCCCTGAGCTGCAGGGCTTCCATTCTAGTGTCCGGTTTGGGACGTGAGGTCTGTGGTCCATACAGGAACCTTGGAAAGAGACCAGGCCTCTGTGGCCCAGCTTTATTCTGGACATGGATGCAGCCACTGTGAGCACTGCTTTCAGCTACTAAGGTGCATCTCAAAGGTCACGTGGTAAAATGAACAGACCAGGCTTTCTGTGGTAAACTCCATCAAGCATTTCTGTTGAGTGTAGTTTAGGACAGTGCAGTGTTTCCCTGCAGCAAACTTTAATCAAGCCTAATTGCTTACATACCTGATACCACATGAACACAGCTGTTTTTTTAAATACATGTTTTGTTTTTCTATTTTTGGCTATGCTGGGTCTTTGTCTAATAAATGCTTTCATTAATTTTTCTATTATTGACTGTACTGGATCTCTGTCGCTGCTTAGGCTTTTCTCTAGTTGTGCTGCAGGAGCTTCTCATCTTGGTGGCTTCCCTTGCTGTGGAGAAAGGCTCTCGACTGTTCGGGCTCCAGTAGTTGTGGAACACGGCCTTAGTCGTTCCTCAGTATGTGGGGTCTTCCTGGACCAGGGATCAAACTGGTGTCTCCTGAATCAGCAGGTAGATTCTTTACTTCTGAGCCACCCAGGGAAGCCCAACATTGATTTTTTAAAACGATTTAATTTGCTTTCACTTAAAACACAAACATGTCTGAACAACGAACGCTAGTTTTCTCTGCTCCCCTCATCCCGCCCCATCCGCCAGACGGCATCTCCCTTGTCCCGCTGGCCTCCTGCTTGGCATCTTGGCATCATGGTGCAGCCTTTGATTTCAGGAGTGGAAGTGCAGATGGCAGGCTGCTTTTCCTCATCTCCGTCATGTGAACAGAGGGTCCCTCCAAAGGTGGCGGCCGGATGGGGCAACTCCTCAGGCCTGAGAGGAAGTCCCTTCTCCGGTCATTGCGAGTCTGGTGCTCCTGGGCCAGATCTGCTGCTGGGTGGTGAGCTCCCGGCCTCGTCCTGAGAGTGTGCTTAGACTGGGGGGAACAGCAGCTCCTTGACAGAGGGGGCGGCTGGGGGAGGTGGTGTGGCCCAGGGAGTCTGGGGGCGAGAGGACCCGAGGCTGTGGATGTCCGAGGAGCGCTCACACTCCTCTCGCTTGGGCTGTGATCACCTGGAGGCAGGAGGTCCTTGGCTTTCTTCTCTCCTTTCAGAGCCAGGGTCAGTGTGCGTGCTCCTAGTTCCCCAAGTCCAAGTTCATCCAGGAAGTTTACCACTCACACACCGGCCTCTGAGAAGTACCTTTACTGAGTCCAGGGGTGGTGGGGGAAGTTTTTTCTACGAATATCACCCTGAGTGGGTTCCCTGCAGCCCAGTAAGTGCGGGCCCTCCCAGCTGTTCTGGAATGAAACCGGAACAAATGGACGGTGAGGAGGCGAAGGAAAGCACAGACCCAGGCTGAGCCACACGCTCCCCGGCCCTGGATCAGGGAGCCTGCAGCCCCAACAAGAGGAAGCAAGTTCAAAGCTTGGCTCTGAGTGGTGGGTGTGGGGCTGGTTAGAAGGTTTCTTCAGAGGAAGGTGCTGCAAACAGCAGGGCTGCTTCAGCTTGGCTCCCCTGGTGTGTGGCCAGAAGGGAAAAGCAGAGGCTTGAGTGAAGTGCTGCTGAACAGACCTTGGCGACACCCATCTGTGTATTTGGCAGGGAGATTCATGTAGAAGGATGTGAGGGAAATCAGAGGAGCCAAGAAGAAGCTGGGCTCCTGCCTCCATGCCACCACGCCCTCTGCCGTAGGACTCTACATTTTATGTTGTCTAAAATTTAAGCTTGAAGGTTTAAGGGGTTGGGAATTCCTTGGTGGCCCAGTGGTTAGGGCTCCGCACTTCCACTGCTGAGGGCCTGGGTTCCATCCCTGGTCTGGGAACTAAGATCCCATAAGCTACATGCCCCCTCCTCCCCCTCAAGAAAAAGTTTAAGAGTTAAAAAAAATAAATTTATGGTCTATTTATTTGGCTATGCTGTACAGCTTGTGGGATCTTAGCTCCCCAACCAGGGATTGAATGCGGACCCCCAGCAGTGAACATTCAGAGTCCTAACCACTGGACCACCCGGGGACTCCTACCATCCTCCAGATTAACCGACACCTGCTTTCTCAGCTGTTAGTTGGAAGAGCCTCCTGTCAGTGGCCTTTCATTCAGAGGTTGATGGAACGGGAGACATTTTTTGTTATAGGATAGGTCTGGAAGGACCCCACGGTCTCAGCATTTTTAAGAAGCCCCAGAACTATATCAAAAGCACACCCACAGCTCAGCAAATGTTTAATGTCTTGCACTGACCACTGGGAGCCAATCAGAGAAACTAGAGGTCACTCATAGCTGACCTGAGTTATTCCACATGTGACAAACTGTAGAACCGAAAGGCAACAGGAGCTTTACTAAGGCCAGTGGTGGTTTTGCGCAGACTCGGGCTTCCCGGGTAGCTTAGATGGTAAACAATCTGCCTGCAGTGCCGGAGACGCGGGTTCGATGCCGCGTCAGTTAATTAGAACTCTTCCAGCAGTGATGGTCTGTAAGAAGTAGACCATTTTTATAACAGTGTTTACTGTTTTATGGGAGGTGACTTTCTGAGTAGCCACAGTGGCGAGCAGTAAAGCCCTATTCAAAGGAGACATGCTGCTGATGTGTTATTTTAGAGACAACTCCAGCCCCATTAACAGATAAACATAATGAAAACACCAACCACACATTTCAATTAAAAGAAAAAAAACCTGTCTGGCATGCCTGGGGTTACTCTAACAGTGTTTAAAGCAAAAGCATTTATGCTAGTGTTCTAACAGCTCTGAAAAAAAAAAACAAAGTGCGGTGCTGTTACTCTTAACACCTGACTGCGTGTCCTCTCCCACAGGTGCTCGGGCAGTGAGAGGCTTCAGCTCCTCTGGTGTGAGCTGACAGGCAGGCCGAGGGCCCCTGGTTGGGGTGGGGGTTGGGGTGGGAATGTGTCCCCAGGAGAGGAGGCAGAGAAGGGGGCCACAGGTAACAGCTGGACAGGAGCCTATTCATCCCGCCCCCAGTGCAGGCGGGAGCTGGCCCTGGAGGTCTGAGGGGCAGAGACTCAGTTGTGTGTGCCTGCTTTGGGGTGGGGCTTTCACTGCTTGATTCAAAGTGAAAGTGTTAGCCCCTCAGTTGTGTCCGACTCTTTGCGACTCCCATGGACCTTGGAATTCCCCAGGCAGGAACACTGGGGTGGGTTGCCATCAAACCTCTCTGTAAAGAGCTTCGTTCCCGAGGACCCTCAGTCCCAGCCTCACCGAGCCCCAGTGCACTTATATTTGCACAAACAAGAGATTTTGCTGTGAATGGTTTTAAGGTTCAGACTTTTTGTTTCTATTGGCCTCTTTACCACTGGTGTTTTTCTTCCTGAGAGCTTTGTTACGAGAGAAGTGGGTAACACCGCTGTGGCCCAAACAGCTCTGGACTGTCCCTTTGTTGTTCAGTTGCTCAGTCGTGTCCGACTCTTTGCAACTGCATGGATTGCAGCACGCCAGGCTTCCCCGTCCTTCACCTTCTCCTGGAGTCTGCTCAAGTTCATGTCCATTGAGTCTGTGATGCCATCCAACCATCTCACCCTTTGTCGTCCCCTTCTCCTCCTGTCTTCAATGTTTCCCAACGAGTCAGTTCTTCTCATCAGGTGGCCAAAGTATTGGAGCTTCAGCATTAGCATCAGTCCTTACAATGAATATTCAGGGCTGATTTCCTTGAAGACTGTCCCTTGGATGGGCACTAAGTCTTTCCTCTCCTTCCCTTTCATTTTTTGGGTTATTTCCACTGAAGGCTTTATTCTCAAAAATACTCACAGGGAAAATACCACTTCTGTTCCTCACCCTGAGTTAGATTGCTTTTATTTTCTGCATTCTTGTCTAGTCTGTGTTGAGAATACTTTCCTTGAGTTTGTGTTCATTTTTAACAGCTTCGTGGTATTTTGTTTCATTGATCTTTTTGAAAAAAAAATCTAAGCTTTCCCCTGTTGTAGGATGTTTTAAGGTCATTTCAGGTATTCTGCCTTATGGTGCCTCTTTGTACGTCAGTCTCCTTCTCCCAGGACGACTAGGGCAGCAGGGCCACCTGTCTGAAGGGATACCTTACCGGGGGTTGGGCCCGCCTGGGCCCGCACATCCCAGGGGCCCTGCCAGCTGGAATAGTCCTCTCCGTGTCTCTCATCACATCCCCCCACCCAGGATCCTGTCTGAGGCTCTTTACACAGGGGCGGGAGGGCTATGATCCAGTGCCCTGTTGCATCAGCTAAGCGTGTTCAGTCAGCTCATCTCCAAGGTGCTCGGAGCCCGGTCATCCCGAAGGAATGGCCCCGCCCCGCTTTCCAGAAAACGCACAGCTCATGGACTGCCAGCCTCGGGTGATGAGAGCTGGCCGGCAGCACTGGGCCGTCCTCCCTGTGAAGTCCTGTGAAGTCCTGTCCTGTCCTTGCCCCACCTCCTCCAGGAAGGAGCTGTGGGTGGGGACGGGCAGAAGGGACGTCTTTCAGTCTTGCTCTGGAGCCAGTTTCGAGGAGCACGTCAGACACGTGGTGCCTGGCAACGAGTGTAGAGAGGAAACACGCAAGTGTGTGTGCGTGGAGAGAATGAATTCATGGCTCCAGGTGCTTCCTCATGAGAAAAGCCAGCCTCCTTGTCACCGTGGTAGTTCTTAATTTAAACTCCACTGTCTGTAACTGCCTTGCTCTGAATCCGGGGTCTGTACGGGCTGTGGAGTTGGACTTTCTAAAGGCGGGCCCAGCGCCCCCTGTTGAGCCTTACCGTCTTGCATTAGGGTCATTCCCATCTGGCTCGAGTTTGATCGTCTCTGGGGATCTGGGGTTAAGCCTCAAGGGGCCTCTTTCCCTGAGACCCTTTGTCCTGAGTCTCTGATGGGGGTGATGCTGGACCATCTCAGGTTTCACTCATTTTCACCTTCAGATACAGAATTTCACTGTCTAACATGTAACAGTAAAATGTTTTTTTGCCTTGGTCAAAACACTGGATTGAAGCCTGGACGGCTCTGGTTGTGGGCTGGGAAACTTGTATATAACTTTGTCCCGATTCCTGGGGGGCAGGTGTATTCCTGGTGGTGGTGGTGCTGGCTGAGGTGGAGAAGTGTTTGCACAAGAAAAACTTGAAAATTCAGGACCACGTGTGGTGAAAAGTAGAGCAAAACAAAGTAGAAGAAGATCAAGAGCTGGGAATTAGTAATTTCTAGAAAAGGATAAAAAAAAAAGAGACCAGGAAAGATGGCAGGAGAAACGTGAGAAAAGTAAGTGAATATGAGGGCATACCAAAATACATGAATTAAATGAGAGAATTTAGTAGGAAAATGGACTGATTAGAAGGAAGACTATTTCTGTAGCTGGTGATCAGTAGAGGAAATAGTCCCCGGGCTTGCCTCACTCAACACATTTTGCATCCCTGAACTGTGCACGACCCCCAGGACCTCCCCCTTCTTCTTTGTCTCCCCAGGTCCAGGCCAAGTCCCACAGTGGGTATTTTAGAGATGTCTTCCCGCCTCCTCTCCCTGCCAGACCCAGGATGCCCGAGGGTCCCATGTGAGGGTCGGCTGAGCAGAGGGCCGGTCATTCTGTCACACACAGTGCTGACGGTGTTTGATATATGTGATTAGCATCTAGTCAGCTGACTCAAGTAAGGAGATTGTTCTCAATAATCTGGGCAGACTTCATCCAATCAATTGAATGACCTTCAGGGCAGAGCTTAGGTTTCCACCAGTCAATCCTAAAGGAAATCAACCCTGAATATTCACTGGAAGGACTGATGCTGAAGCTGAAGCTCCAGTACTTTGGCCACCTGATGCGAAGAACTGACTCATTGGAAAAGACCCTGATACCGAGAAAGATTGAAGGCGGGAGGAGAAGGGGCCAACAGAGGATGAGATGGTTGATGGCATCACCAATTCAATGGACATGAGTTTCAGCGAGCTTCAGGAGATGGTGAAGGACAGGGAAGCCTGTCCATGGGGTTGCAAAGAGAGCCAGACACAACTGAGCGACTAAGACACAAAGAAGTCTACCTCAGAAAATCCATATGGAGCAAACCAGTCAATCCTAAAGGAAATCAACCCTGAATATTCACTGGAAGGACTGATGCTGAAGCTGAAGCTCCAGTACTTGGCCACCTGATGCGAAGAACTGACTCATTGAAAAAGACCCTGATACTGGGAAAGATTGAAGGCGGGAGGAGAAGGGGCCGACAGAGGATGAGATGGTTGATGGCATCACCAATTCAATGGACATGAGTTTCAGCGAGCTTCAGGAGATGGTGAAGGACAGGGAAGCCTGACCATGGGGTTGCAAAGAGAGCCAGACACAACTGAGCGACTAAGACACAAAGAAGTCTACCTCAGAAAATCCATATGGAGCAGAAAGAAGCAGTTAGGAAGAGGAGGCATGAAGACTTTTCCCTTTTCTAACTTGTTCAGCTAATGAATAGCAACTGATAAAAACCTGATTGCCCTCCGTGGATGAAGCAGGAGGGAAAGACCCAGAGCCCGGAGGAGGTATGGGTCCTCTGGACCTGACAGTGTTGGGTGGTAGGAAGCCCTCTGACCCTTTGTCTAGTCAGGTCACTGTCCCTGCTCATGACACAAATCAAGAATTAACTGCTCTGGGGTGGCTCACTTTGTAGGTGTTTTGAAATCTTTGGAAGTCAGCTCTGAAAGTGTGGAACGTAGTTGTGGAAGAAGAGAGCCAAGGCAAACAGCATCGCAGGTCAGGCTGGCCTCCGGATCCACATCCCTCACAGTTTGGTGCTGGAATGAAAACCCCAGGCTGTTGGAATGTTGACCCAGGGACCAGGGCTGGGGGGTTGGGAGTCAGCCATCCCCGCCTGGCTGCCTCTCACAGCATCCCAGGGGCCAGGGCGGCCCTGGGAGAGGACCAGCGGAGACGTGGCATGGGAGGCGGGGCACCTTGCCATCCAGCAGTCGTTTCTGGCGGTTCTGGGCGGCCCCACGGGCCTCGTGTGCGCTGTTTCCTCCTGACACCGCCCTAACCCCCCAGCGTTGCTGCCAGGAGCTGAGGCCGGTAGACTGAGCATTTGAGCAACCTGAGTAGATTTGCTCTCATCAGTGGTCACTTGAACCCAAGGATGGTTTAGAACTAATAGGAAACTTGGAGGACTCCTCCTGCTGACAAGGTGCCTGACACCCCAGTGTTGGCACCAGGGGCAGGGAGCCCAGGCCGCTGGGGGCATCGGCTGTTGGCAGAGGACGCGCCAGGACATCCCGGGGGTGCCGGGGGTCGAGCAGGTTGTCACCACGCGTTCCTGGGCCTTCCCAAAGGAACGCATGGGTGATGGAGGCCCTGTGAACGGCAGCCCCACCTCTGCAAACACACAGCTCTGAGCTGAGGGCCCCTGGAGACCATGCACCTCAACGCGGAAGGTAGGGGCTGCTGAGGGGTCTGTGCCGGTTGCTGCTATCATGGTTTGTAAACAGGCTTGCCTTTTCTTAAAACTGAGGAGATGCAGCACCATGTAAGAGACGCTGCCTGGAAGTATGTGTCATGTTTTTCTTTTTCTTTCTTCCTTTTTTTCTCCTTGAGAAAAATAATTCAGATATCACAAGAAATCAATAGGGAGAGACTGAGAACAGTTAATTCTCAAACAAATAGAAACAGAAGCTGATGAAACTTGAGAACAAACAGCATGCAGACAGGAAGGAGGCCCGCGACAATTTTTCAAACAAAGCAGCTGATAAGAAAGCCTAATTGACTGACCGTGATAGTGGTGGACAGACGTAGCTTTCAACTTCAGAGCATTCCAGGGAGCAGAGGGAGTCAGTTCTGAGATCTGGCTCAGGACGTGGACATGTGCGTGATTCCTCACTGTGCCACCAGAATGTGTTGGGAATGCCTCCTTTTGGGTGTAGTTTTCATAAAGCCAGCATCTCAGGTTAAGGCTGGTTACTGGTCTTAAAAGCTATAGTTTATCTGGAAGTGGTAGAGATATTTTAGGATGTGTTTTTAATCTAATAAAATAGTGCCTGAGAAAGAAAAGGCCAGCGTGCCTACTCCCCTGTGAAGTGCCAACTGTGGCCGGCGGGGCCCTGCTGGACTTGCAAGCTACATGACCTCGTGCAGTTCAGTTCACTGCACCTCAGTTTACCCACCTGTAAAACTGGTACAGCAGCCGTGACCTTCACAGGGGTGGTGTGAGAATAAGCTGGATGGAGACACTGGGCTTGAGTCAGAAACGGTGAGATGAGCTAAATCTAATCTCAGGAGAATCTGTTTTCCCCCCATCTTTTCTTATTCTGTATAAGCAGCTCTTAAGCAGTTAGGTTCAAAGTCTTCTTTCTGGAGGGAGAGGGAGCCTGTGCCATGCAGCATGAGAGATCTTAGTTCCCTGACCAGGGCTCGAACCTAGGCTCCCAGCAGTGGAAGCATGGACCGCCAGGAAAGTCCCTCGGGGTCTTCTCGAAACCTAAGCTCTGTGAGTTCTTGTGAGCGGATATTGTTGACCAGGCAGAGGGCATGGATGCAAAGGAGATGGGGGGCGGGAGTGGACAGTGGGATAAAAGGTGAGGTGGCTTTTTTCCTTCACATTGTCAGTGAGATCATTATTCCAGAGTAATTCCCATACCACTCACTTTCATGGTGTAGAGAAGCCAAAACTACAGTTGGAAATAAACTAAAACCCTCCTTTTTTTACTCTAATGGGAGGGGAGAACTTTCCTTCACTGGACCTCCCTTCACAGCACGGGTTCCAAGTCGCCACAGGCTTCCTGTGTCTGGAGTGAGTGCAGGCTACTGGCCTAGCAGACAGTGGGCGTTTATCCGAGAGCTGAGGGCCTGCTGCAGAAAGTTTTCTTATATTAGTAGGACTGAAATACTAATTGGTTTTTGAGCAAGTTGGAGAGGAATTATGAATTGTTTAAGAGTTTTACTGTATTTTATTCTGTTCTGAAGAAGTGAAAAGCTCTTTTAAAACTACAAATTTTATAAAAGGCAGTAGGAAAAAAGGTACGAGAAAGCCCCTGGGATTCTCAGATGACTTCACTGGGGCCAGGAGAGACATGAAGTAGCCGGAGGTGAAACAGGGCACCTGAATTGCGTCCCAAGGCTCATGGTGGGGGAGGACGGGCAGGGCAGCTCGTTTTCCCCAAAAGTGGGTGAGCTCACAACTACAGCACACCTGCCTGCTCTCTCCTCTCAGTCTTTCCAGCATTTTCTGTTGGGTATCTCTGCTCCCTCAAAATGGGTAAGCTGTGTTTGTGCCTAGATTGTATCACCTTTAGTTTGAATAAACCTACGAATAGGCAAGGTGAAGTAAATATTTAATTTCCAAAAGTACGCAAATGTTTGGGGCATTTTCCACGTTGCAGAGATGCTGCATATCCAGGAGAACTGGCGGAGGTCGGGGGGCCTCCCCAAGCTCTGAACTGTCCCCCATGCTTCTGGTATATGCAGTGAAACCCTTCAATTTAAAAAGGAGTGTCTGGAGCTTAAGTGCAGGTGCTGATGTCAGAAAAGTAGTGTGTTTGAATTTTCACCCATCGGATCACTTTCTCTTCTAAGACAAAGTGGGTGTCATCCTTCTCAGAGAGAAGGGAAATGATTTGAGCCAAATGCAGTTGAAATCAGTGAATTTAAGCTTTCACACAGATGTAGATACACAAAAACTAACCCCACAGAAGTTATGAGTCTTTTTTTTTAAGGCGTGTCCATTGGAGATCACTTTTAAGTGAATCATGCAGTGTATGTGATCCTTGGAGGAGGGCATGGCAACCCACTCCAGTATTCTTGCCTGGAGAATCCCGTGGACAGAGGAGCCTAGCGGGCTACAGTCCATGGGGTCATACAGAACCGGACACAACTGAAAGGACTTAGCATGCACACACATGCAGTGTCTGTGGGGCAGGTGTGAGCCCTGCTCTGGGTTGCTTCACATCCTGCAGTTTGTTTGTTCCCTGTTATCCTTTTAGCCTGCCTGACCAACTGCTGAGTCTCCCTGGTTCTGAAAGAGGCTGGCTGAGGGCCAGGGCAGCTCAGCAGGTTTGGAGGGGGGTTGCACTGGGCTCCTGTGAGACCTGCCCCGAGCGCAGGCCTGCACTGACCGGCCTAGCCTCCTTGCCTGGCGGGCAGGGGCAGGCTGGGCTGTGTGTGTGCGGAGCGGCCCGTTCAGGCAGGCCACCCCGTGTGTGGGCAGCCTACGGCTTCCTCTTGGAATCAGCCTCCCCCACGCACATCTGACACTGCCGTAAGAGTGGCGTCCCCTTTGCCCCTTCAGGGTCAGCCTCTGCTCCACATGCTTCTCCGCCGCAGACCGAGGACTCCGTCCTCCACTGAGGCCCGGTGTCAGCAGACGTGTTGGGAGGCGTGTGGTCGGGGGTCACCTGCAACCCCCAGGGCTGGTGGGGCCCTAACTTGGCGGCCACAGCCAGGCCTACCCCATGGGGGTAAATAGCCCATGTTGAGAACCTGTTGCCCAGAAGATGAAGGACCAACTAGAGCCCCTGGTTAAGAGGCAAGTAGGGAATGGATGCAGTTGAACTTGCCATCTTTGGTTCTCAGGGAATGCATTTGAGTGGTGTACACAGGTGACCTCGTAGGCACATTGTTGAAGGAGACATTTGTGGTGCAAAGAGGACTCATGTGACACTTGAGGACTCAGAGCTGACCTGGGCCATCCGAGGTCCTTGAGAGATGCTAACCCAGACACCGTGGGAGCCTGGAGGTCGGGTCGCTTCTCAGGACTTTACTGCTGGGAGAGGCTGAGTTCTGACCCCTATGTGGCTGAGCAGGGGGTCCCACCCGCCGGCCCTCGACACCCACAGGGGCCAGACCCTGCGGACACGCCCAGGTTTGGGTGGAGACAGAGCTCACTGACCTGGGGGTATTCTTGTTTCCTCTGCTTCCAGGTATGTTAAGCTACTGTGACAGGTACAGCGAAGGCATGAAGCGTGTCCTGAAGACTTTTGGACCCATTCCTGAATTCTCTGGGGCCACAGCTGAGAAGGTGCACCAGGTGTGTGAGCTCCTGCCTGCAGAAACAAGGTGTCGCTTGCAGCTGGGGTCTTTGCCTTGACCTCCAGGTTCCTGTTGCCGACTGTCCATGACCCCGTCAGTGTCACAGGGGACCCTGCGAGCAGTGTGACCAGAGAGCTGGCAGCTCACCCAGGCGTGTGCTGGGGAGCTGTCCGCCCCCCTGAGTTTGGGGAGTTACATCAGTTGAGGGTTTGCCAGGCTTCTTCTGTCTCTGAAAGCAGATTCAAGAGTGTGCACAAATAGGAGTGGCTTTCCTTCTGCTTAATTAGTTGTCCTTCATGCTTCTTTTCCCTTTCTTCTCTCTTTTTTTCCCTTTCCCAGGCCATGTGCGTTAAGGTTCCGGATGATGCAGAGCACTTGGCTGCCAGAAGGGCGTGGCGGGACGGATGCCTCATGAGACTCGCCCAGCTGAAGCACCAGCTACCCCAGTGATGCTGCGGTGACCACTGCCGCCCCCAGTGGGGACCACCAGCCCCCAGTCCCACAGCTTTGAGACACCGGGGTTGGGGAGGGGGGCTGCGGGAGCCCGACCGGGGGGAACCCTGCTTGCTGTCCTCACCCTGGCAGGTGCCTGGGGAGGGCATGCCCCAGGCAGGGGTTAGTCACAGCCATTGGGGTCTGTGGGCCATGGATCCCCCCCAACTCCCAGCAGATGAGAGAGCAAATCGTCCAAAGATTTGACTGCTTACTTTCATGTGATTCCACCTGTTTACATATCATGATCAGTGGTTGTAGTTTCAAGTCATTTTAATCTGCTGCGAAATGTTTTTGTAATTATTTTCTGATCTCTTGCTGAGGACCCTGTGGTCCTATACATTTGAGGAGTTCCCTTCATTTTTCTGATCCTTATTCCAAATAAAAGTGTTTGATTGCATAAAGACATCTTTTCTTCTGCTCTTTCTGGGAAAGACGTGTCCTGGTGATGGACATCAAGTGACCACGATAGCCAGGTCGTAAAGCAGATGCTTTGTTCGGAGCTCCCTGTCTGCCGTTCGGTGAAAACCCACACTTTGGGCTGGTGTTTCCCATGGTGCTATTGGGGTCAGGGTCAAGCGTGTTGGGGAAGCCCCCTCTGAGGGTGGCGGACAACCCCCAGATGCCCCCACAGGGAGCACACGAAGATAACTATTACCCGGGCCCTGTGTCGCCTCAGCCTAGAGAAGGGCTTGGTGTGGGGGACGGTTCAGAAAGGGGTTCCTGAGGGTGACCATGGGCTGTGGAGGCTGCACCCAGGACTGAAGCTCTGGACCAGAGGCTGGGGCATGAGGCAGAGCAGCACCCTGCAGCGAAGGGCCCTGGAGCCCACAGCCTTCCCCCGGGGCCGCCCCCTCACCCCCGTTTTAGCCCCCACCACATCCTCATCTCTGGACCTGCCCCAGCCTCCTAGCCTGAGAGGACAGCAGACAGGACAGAGGTCCTGTGCTCTCCTGTGGGACCCTCAGCTGCCCTGAGCTGGCCCAGGGCTGCCCAGCTGGGGCCACTCCCCTGGTTCCCACTGGCCCAGGGTGCCCTTCCAGGCGGCTCCTCTCCCCTGCCAGCCTCCTTCTGGCCAGGGCCAGGCTCCTGTCGGACAGCCTGCAGGACACCACGCCCTCCGGAAGAGCTGTAGCTGTCGCTTCTGGGCTGGGCCCTGGGGCTCAGCTCCAGCCTGCTCCGTGCTTGCTGGACCCAAGATGGGGTCCCTGGAGGGTCTCTTGGTGGGAGAGGAACACACATCCCCCACCGGCAAACGTTCACCTGTCCAGGTGACTCTGGACAGGTGGGAGGGACTCCAAGCCTCTCAAGGACGCTCCTGTCCTTCAAGGGCTTCGCAGTCATTCCAGCCCTGGGACTTGGGAGGGTTGTCCCAAAGCGTCCCTCAGCTGGAGGTGGTGACCTTTTGTTTCCTTCTCGGCAGGGCAGTCATTTGTATTCTGCTGAGGGAAGACTCTGTTCCCTTCCTTTTGGGCTGGCTTTTTTTTTTTTGGTTTCTGCTTTTTTTCAGATCTCTGAGCAAGATCACTGCCCTTCCCCCAACACACCAGATTCCACACCTCCCCCTGGAGTCCTGCTGCTCTAGACCCGCTCCTGCTGGCCATCAGCTCCCGGGCTGGAGAACATCTCTGGTCCTGGCCCCCCCTCCCGGCTCCCTGCACCGCACCCGCCCCCCCCACCGCCATCCGCCACCCTGGTGGGTGCTGGGTTTCTGCCCAGTCCTACCTCTGGACCAACACAGTCTCTTTACTTACCATGAGGATCTCAAATGATCCCTTCACCTTTTTGGAAAAACTGCCTTTTAATTTTGTGTCCTTAGACACACCATGCTTTTTCTTTTTTTTTTTGTTTCTTCCTTTTTGGGGGGGAGTGGGGTGTTTAACCTGAATAATTCCCAAAATAACTTCACTTCCACCACCCCTTTCCTTCCGGAAGCTGGCTAGAGACCAAAGTCTGCCTCCTAACCTGAGGCCTCTTGTGAGGATGACCCTACAAGGCTCCCAGAGAGGAGACTGAGGATGCCGAGAGCTTCCCCTGTTGCTCTAAGTGTCATTGTGTAGAGGCTGCATTACTGTGCAGTGTGGATGAATAGACACGGGCCTGTGGACTGGGCCCAGAGCCACTCAAGGGCAGGGCTGCAGGGCGGGCCCAGCTAGTAGGGGGCTGCTGGTCCCCCAGTCTCCCCTGGGCTATTGTACCAGCGTGAGTGTCCAGGGGCCACCTCTTCCCTGAAGCCCTCTGGGCCCTCTACCGTTCCCTTGAGACCTTGAGCGGCTGCGGCAGCACACATTCGACCCCCAGCCAGCTGCAGGGGCCAAGGGATCATTCAAGTCTTGTTTCTGGGGGCATCTCACACAGAGCAGGTTTTCAACAAAACTGGCCCCACAAACAAACGGACTTGATGGTCCACTTCAGGCCTCTTCTGGTAACAACTGGGTGGGTGACTTGGGGCAACTCTCCACGGAGGACAAATGAGAAATGAGCCCACAGGGCTTCCCTAGAGGCCCAGTGGTTAAGAATCTGCCTTCCAATGCAGGGGACGTGGGTTCCATCCCCAGTCAAGGAGCTAAGATCCCATGTGTTAATAAAGCAACTAAGCCCGTGCACCACAACAGGGACCCAGCGCAACCAAAAAAATTAAAAAGCAACAAGTACACAAACATCTTCTCAAACAGAAGAGCTAACACAAGACATGAGGAATCTGAGCCACATTCTGAAAACCCAGGAAGGACATGCACGCAAGGACACCTCTTGAACCACCAGGGCAGCCAGCCAGGCTCTCTCTGTGTCAGTAAGAAAAACAGACACCACGAGCTAAAGCACAACCAACGTGTCAAAGTCTGTGAGCTCCTAATGAAACTAAGAAATTAAAAAACCTTGTCGATCGTGCTTGGAGCTTCACTCACACGCGTGGTGCCCACTGGGGACCTGGGCTCCTGGACATAGGGCTGGTTCCTCTGTCCTTGGTTCCCTTTCCCGGGTGACCCACTGGCCCCAGGTGCCCCACTGACTGCCAGGCAGCTCTACAGGCCCATCGTGGGGGTCAGTTCCCAGCTCTAAGTCCCTAATGTCAGATCCATAGCCTGAAATCCGGCCCCAGGTTCATCACACTGTGCGTACACAGTGTGTACGCATGTGGACACAAGAACTTGCTAAGGCTCAGAATCAAGCCCTGTGTTTGGTGTGCGCCTGTTTGTGTGTGTGTATTTGTGTGTGTGCATGTGTGTGTGCTTGCATGTGCATGAGTGTGAGAGAAGGTTAAACACTCTCCAGCTTGGCATAGGCTGGCATCAACCTGCTGAGTCCTGGTTGGAAGGGACGAACCAGATGTCCTGAAACCACCACACAGGGACTCAGCTCTGCCTGGCTCTTGTGAAGAGATGGATTCTGGGTCTCTCAGAGTCCTGCTGACTCGGGGCCACCCCAGCAGGGCCCAGGGATCTGTGTTTTTGCTGGAATTCCAAGTAACGCAGGTGAGCAGCCAGCAGCCTCCCCCAACCCCTGACACCATCTTGAAATCTCTTCAAGGCCCCCGGGGGCCCATCTGACCCTGGGGACCCTGACTTGGAAGGTATTTTTCACTGTGAGTCAAATCCGCCTCCTGGATTCAACTAACCCTTGGTTAGTCAATCCCTCTAACCCTTGGCTCCCAGTCAGTCATGAACCAGCTTCCTGGCCTGCTGACTTCTGACCCGCTCTTTCCAGAACCCCTGGTACAACAGAACTCCTCTGACTTGATCATGGGATTTCCCTTATACAACTGGAAAGGCAGCTGTGTTTCAAGAAAATGGTACTTTCCATCAGGAAGAGAAAGGGGATCTCCCAAGTATGTAAGCTGCAAGTAAACTGTGCCCTTGAGACTTGGTGGCAGGCACATCATGTTAGACTCCCCATGAAAGCCTAGGCAACTGGACCTGGTTCGACGTTCGACACTTCCAGGGCTCAGACACCTGCCACGTGGGCAGCGTGATCCCAGAAAGAAACAATGGAGGAGCACCTCACAAGACTGGGTCTGGAAGCCAGAGTCCATGGCGGGCCAGCTCAGAAAATGCTGTTGACGGAGTGAGAAAAGCTTACACTGATATTAGCACACCTTTGAAAATGGAGCCAGTAGTTCTTCTCTAAGACTAAGAGTTGGGGAAACTTTCTGATGTAATGTAGGAAAACAAAGGCCACCTGAACTCGGCACCCTTCCTGGTATTAAGGCCACTGCTGTTACTGTGCCTGATACAATGAATCCTTCAGAAAAATACTTATTCCACTCAAACCCTCAACACAGCTGAGTAAACTGCCTTGCTCAGCATGGTAGGAAGGTGCTTAACTCTTGTCGGGTCCATCTTGATTATGGGCTACATTCCAGGTTTTTTTGCTTGTCTATTGCATTTCTAAAAATGACTTTTTGGGGGATTGTGAATAATCTGTGAAGACTTTGAATTGTCTCATCTTCCTCTGTCGTGGGTTGCTCGTGGGGTGGTGGGGGCAGTCAGTTTCTGGCAGGGCCTCAGGCCTGTGGGCTCCAGGTGTCCCTCTTATGGGGCATGGCCTTAAGCCATGGCTGAGCTGTAGTCCATCTGATTTGTCAGGAACAGCCTGTGGGTTCACTGAGCCCCGTCCCTGAGTACAGGCTCAGGGCGCTTGGGCCTCCACCTCTTGCACAGACTGGTGAGGACAGAGGGAAAACACACTGAGTCAGAGCTGACCCCTCCATCTGCCCTGCCTCTTGGAACATTCACCTCTGTCTTCAGCCCAATTCGATGGCCACTTTCTGCTCAAGCACCTGTTTTGCTTTGTATTCGGTGACTGGCTGGCTGGTCAGTGTGGAGCTGGCCGGGATCTCGTCCTCCTGTGGGGAATAGGCTGCGCCTGCTCCTGCCCTTCAAACCACTGGTCCTTATGCCTGACCACTCTGCCATGATCATGAGGATGGTTAGTCCAACCCAAGCCCCGCTCCGTAGCTGGAATCAGAACCCCCTGAGCAGCTTTGAGAAGTCTGGAGGCTGTGTCTGCACCCCAGACTACCCACCAGAGTTTCCAGGTGTGGAACCCAAGCGTCAGTATCTTTCAAAGCACCCGGTGACTTCTGTGTAACTAAACTTACTGGAAATATTTCTTGAGCCCTTGTATGTCTCAGCATCAAAGTGTGAAAGTGTTAGTGACTCAGTCATTCATGTCTAACAGCAACCCCATAGACTGTAGCCCACCAGGCTCCTCTGTCCATGGAATTCTCCAGGCAAGAATACTGGAGTGGGTAGCGATTCCCTTCTCCAGGGAATCTTCCCAACCCAGGGATCAAACCCAGGCCTCCCACATTGCAGGCAGATTCTTTACCATCTGAGCCACCAGGGAAGCCCTGTATGTCTCTACTTTTCATGAATTATTTTTCTTAATTCTATGGTAGCCTCATTATT